GCCAGGCGCTAGAAACAGCCTAAGTCCCTACCAATAAATGAGTGGATCAAAAAATTGTGGTAGCTTTACACAATGGAATACTATGCAGCAGAAAGAAAGAACTCCTCCCTTTTGCAACAGCATGAATGGAACTGGAGAAATATTATGCTAAGTGAAAGAAGCCAGTTGATGAAAGACAAATACCATATTTCACCTACAAGAGGAACCTAATGAACAAAAATGGAACCAGTGGCATGGAAACATGGAACAGACTGACAGCAACCAGGAGGGTAGGTGGGGAGGGGGATAATGGTGGGAAGAAGGTGAAGGGACTAGTCAAAGAACATATATTAGTGACCCATGGACATGGACAACAGTGTGGGAACTGACTGTGGGATTGGGGGTTGGGCTTGGCAGAGGAGGGTGAAGGGGGAAAAATTGGGACCACTGTAACAGAATAACAAGAAAAACACTTTTTAAAATAGAAATAAAATGAGCACCTTCACAGAAAAATGTTAAATTAAGGAGAGGAGAGCCTGGTGGATACATTATTTTGCAAGTGAAAGGACCAAAAAATGTGGAAGAAAGCAGAGCTGAATATGGTTTGTACTTCACTAAAATGAAGAGTTAGTGTTATCATAAGTGTAGTAAGAATTTGATAAAGGTTGCCTTTAAAGAAAGCATATTTCTTAACTGATTGCTGTGTTTTGTCAACAGAGCTCTTATTTTATGGTACTTGTATTACAATTATAAAAACTTGAACACCTGCAACCTGAAGGGTCTCTGGTTAGATTCCCAGTGTAGGGCACATGCCTGGATTGCAGGCCGGGTCCCCAGCAGAGGGCGCACAAAATGCAACCACACCTTGATGTTTCTCTCCCTCTTTCTCCCTCTCTTCTCTTCCCTAAAACTAGATAAATAAAATCTTTTGACAAAAAAAAACTTAAGTAAATTTGTTATACATTATGAGAGGTGGGGCTATGTCTTGTCTATTTAGGTCCATCTTGAGAGTAGCCTGAAAAGGAGGCACACTGCATGGAGCCTTGAAGGGCAGACTATGACCCAGGAACACCAAGGTTAACTTGACACTGCATGTTTAATATTACATACACATATGTGCATTTAAATATATGTTTAATATACATATGTATAAGTGGATATTAATGTGTGTGTCTATAAAAAAGGATGTAATTACAAATACAAGAAAGCTAGCCTAGCTTTTGCCTCACAACAGTCAAAAATAGAAGTCCATCTCCTCTCTTTGCTTTTCTTGCTGATATTGTCCTTTTCCCAGAATAGTAGCACTTTTTCCTATGATTTACAGAGTATGTAGGAGCCTCTGGATTCATGGAAAAGCCCTTTAAAATTTCAAAGTTTTTAGCAATAATGTTCCAGTGTAATACATTTCTAAGAACAGGCTTAGAATTTTTAACAAACACCAGGAAGCAAGAGACCACTTCAAAATGTTTGAGTCCCCAGTTTTAGGAGTCACATGGACAAAAGTAACTGACCTGTATATCATTAGCCAGGAAGACCTTACTTTAAAGATTTTCACTGATGTTAAAAAAAATAGTAACAAGATTACAGCTCTCAAAGATTACACACACCACTCCTTATACGGTGAAGTTGATATTAGACTGGTCTCCATTGGTAGGGCCAATACATTTTTTACTTAGTGAAATATTTACATTTCAGATGGTAAATAGCTGCAATCTGAGCCCCCAAGTTCCTCTCTGGTACTCTGGCTGCCCCAGATGGGAGAGACTATAGTGGTCACAGCCCATTGCTGAGGTTGTTGGCTGGGGACTGAATCCCAGCAGAACAAACTGTATTCTGATAACATTGCCAGCCCATACCTCACCCCACCTTAGGTCCTCAAGCCTCCTTCACTCCTCGCTCTTTCCCAAAGCTGCACTCATGAAGTTGCAGTGCACTGAACTAACTGGTTGTTAAATGTAGGATTTTGACATATGTGAACCTGTTACTTCTGGTTTATCCTTTCAGACAATCTTCACCCCTTACCAGTCTGTTTTCCAATCAGAGCCTGCTTCTTTTAACCAAAGAAGAGATTTAGGCTGCGATAAAGAACAAAAAGCATTTATATGAACAAAAATTATTGTAATCTGGAAGTCACAGATTCAGTTAGTAACATAAATTTTGCCCTGAAGAGAGCAAAATAAAAAGACAGGAGTTAATAGAGGTGCAATCTGCAAATGTGGCTCCCCTTTAGGTCCTCTATGCAAATGAAGGATTCTGGCTAGGTTAACTGGGATTGGTTAGTTCCAACATGCAAACAGGGGAAGCGACAACTACAAGGACAAAATAAAACCATTGTTTTTATGGAGCAGTTGTTCCAAGATGTTTATGGCTCAGTCTTGAGCTATGTTTAGCAGCAGGTTAGCAACTTCAAAGCAGCTCTGAGAACTGAGTCACAAGATCTGCAAAGGCCCCACCTTTTCAATGGCTTTCTGACTCTGTTTTAAGTGAGTTTCTTAGCAATGTTTATTCCATTTTATTTTCTCCATTATCACTTCATGCATGTGTATTGCCTTACAAGGCCTTAGCGGAATAGCCTCAGACCCTGGATAAATTACATGCAATGGAGATGTGGCGTGTTCATTTCGAAAAGGCCTAGAGAATCTCTGCATTGTGCTCTGAACTGAATTAAATTCCTTATTTAAATATTCTAAATATCAAACTTCATGTAATCAAACAGTGTATGCTCTTTCACCTTTATCAGATCTCACTGGATTCTCCATCAAAAAGTAAACAGAACAGATGTCTTTGCCTTTTTCAAGTTATTAAATATTTTCAAGGAGTGAAACTTGGGTTTGAAATTCCAATACCTGATTGCCTGCCTCAGTTCCAAAGTGCACAGGAAGTCCTGAGCCTAACTTTTCATCCTGAGGTGTCCACCAGGAAAGGGAAAGGAAAGGGGGTTCCTGGTGTTGATGTGAAGCCCAGCACAGGCTGAGAGGACATGATTTCAGAAGCGACGATTCACTTGATGAACTGTCAAGAAGACTGGTTCTAGAATTGCTGAAGAATAAAACTTTGTGATTCCATTTTGAATCATCTTGGCCCTGTGTATCCTGACCCTGGTCTCTTCAGTGTGGTCAACCCAGATTCTCCATTCTGTTACCATAAATCCTCCACAACAGGGATCAGGACATAGACTGACTTGGACTAATAGTTCTGAACACTGCCAGGCAGGGCCGGGGGTGGGGAGTTGGGGTAACTTACTTAACCAGGATCACATTTAGTTTCTTCATCTGAAGAATGAGCATAATGACAGTTTCCCTCTGGCAGCACAACACTTTATGTATTAATGTCTAAGTTTCAAACTATCTTTCTGTGCTCACCAAGATCTTTCAGTTGAGTGCCAAAGACTTTCCTTTTTCTCAACCTAATCAGATGGAGCTGAGTTACCTATAGTACCAACAGGAAGAAGAAGAAAAAAAATAAGTGTTTAGTGTAGGGCACAAAGATTCAAGATTCTGCTGTATGCTTGCAGAGAAAATATAGTCACTTGGAGGGACAAGATAAACATCACATTGAGAAAGAAATGGAAGAGTTAAACAGGGAGCCCACAGTCTTGAGGGAGAAATGGAAGAACCATGTAAATCATCATTCAACTTGAGTATGAGGCAGCTAAATAGAAGGTGAGTTAAGCACTGAGCTGTCCCTTTGGTTGCCATCTAGAGAAGATACAAATTTCCAATTTTCCAGTGTTTGCCCATTCTCACTTTGGGTTAACACTTATCTGTGCCCCTACAAACTCTCCCTCACAACTTCAAAACACACATACCCCAAAACATGTCTTAAGTAATAAACTATCTATCTTATGGTCCTGAACATTCCTAAAAGTCCCAAAGGAAAAGGTTTGTATACTTTGTGGATGTTGGTGATATGAAGGAAAAGCTACTTCCTAATGTTTCTTCTCTAGGGTGGCTGAGCATCATGAAATCATACTCATAGTGAGTCTGGCCATAACAATTTTACCTGTTTTCAGTCTCAATTAGTCCACTTACCAGTTTAAAGACTGTAAGTCTGACACTGTTTCTTAAACATGCCTTCCTCTTCTGTGAAATTGGATAAAACCTACTTTACGACGCTCTAGTGACTCAATCAAGTATGCTAATTAAATGTGTGTGTGCATATGCTTTTCTCATCTGCACCATGAACATTAGTGCAGATTCACCAGCCTGCACAAAGGCAAGGACACAGAGAATTATGACAATCTAAGCATTCTCTCTTCATACCCTCAGAAGTTCATGTAAATTCTCCCAAATAGCCAGAACCACACTGGGAAGGTGAAAGGGGAGTGGAACACCTCTGAGTTTCTCCAAAAGGTACGGTTTAAACTAAATTGTTCCAAACAAGAACAGATGAACAGAACATTAATAGGTAAGCTAAATGTATAGACTTATATGCTGTTCAACCATAGTAAAATTGTGAACATATAAAAGATATTATGTTAGTTGCCTCCCCCATCCTCTCGTAAACTTCAAGATGTTGGCAAAGAACCCCTAATGTTTAGAATTTAAAATTACTTCCTTATTCAAAGTACAGGGTTTCCATTGGTGGAAATCCAGGGACCTAAAGAAGCAGTAAGGAAATATTGTTGAGCTGAGACTTTCTAGTGCCTTGGTTCTCAAAGCACTATGTGCAGACCAACTCATCAACAGCTGGTTGATTATGAAAAATGCAGGCACACAGGTGTCCCTGCAGTCTGAGTTAGAATCTGCTTTCTAACACAAATCCAGGTGATTTGTATACACATTATGTTTTAAAAACAGTGTCTAAAGGGTCGTGACTCCCCTCCAATCATACCAAGCATTCAGCTGCCCTCCCCGCTTATTAAAACCACCAAAGGAAATCACCGCATATTAACATCCAGTTTCCAGAATGTTCACAGATGAAAGCTAAAAAGGAAAATACCCCAAAAGTCCTATTCTCATATCTATTATTGGCAAATGTCTTAAAAACATGCGCTGAGAAAAATAAGAGCAGATGCTTACTGTTCCATCACACTGGCCATCCTTAATCCTCAGATACATCTGTGCATTTTTCACACTTTCAAACATGCAAATCCCAGCACTGATTTTATGCACTTTCCAGTAGGATTTTTCAGACTGGCTTCCCACTCCAGTGCAGCTCCCATCGGGCTGGAGACACAGGGCCTGGCAAAGGCTCGTAGCAAGCATAACCACAGCACCGTTGAGGAACACACCCTTCAGAGCAACAAACAGAACAGAAAAGCAATAAAGAGCAAGCTCATGTTTTGCTAGAGGAATATGGAAATAGAGTCCATTATCTTACAGAGGTAGCAGTGATCAGGATCTTTCCAGAACTTTGGTTTAAAATGAGCAAAAGAAAAAAAAAAGTTTTCACTGTGATGCAAAATGAGACATAACTAAAGGAGGTTATCTGGTAGACTCTTAATTTATATCAATCATTATTTATTGAGAATGTAAAGGTCAGCATCAGATGCAACAGAGATTAAAAAAGACACAAAACAAAAACATTTCTCTTAAGAAATTTACAATCACTATTAAAATTAGTTTTAATACTAGTACAAAGCAGAATACTCTGGGTACCTGAATTATAAAATGCACTGTATGGATAGTTAAATATATGCATGTAGAAATAAATAAATGAAAGAAAGGAAATATCAAATACAACTAAGGTATATTTAAGTAAATCTTATGCAATCAACAGCTTAAAAGGAAATATCAAAAGTTCTTGAAAGTTAATTAGAACTATACTAACAATGTAGAGTAATGAATAAAATTCACAGATACACACGTCACAAAAGACAAAACCCAAATGGTGAATAAAAATAAGAAAAGGTAATCCTACTACTAATTAAAAATAAATAAAAGTGAAATTAGATGTTTACTCCTCCAGAAAATTGTCAGGCGTTTGGTTTTTAAGGACCATATTCGACACTGGCCTTTGCACTGACCTTCAGAGAGTTAATCTCTAAACCCTTAATGTAATGCCTGATAGGGGTGTTTTAGTTTGTTTGAGGGCCTTGGGCCAGCCATATACTAAAGAATGTGATTTGAGTTAAGGACTTTGATTCACAAGGCTTCTGTTGACCTTGTGAGAGACTGAAGATTGAGACCAACGATATGTACTCCCTTCATCAGCGGTCCCCAACCTTTCTGGCACCAGGGACTGGTTTCATGGAAGACAATTTTTCCATGGACCAGGAGAGGGTTGGGAACAGGAGGTGGAGCTCAGATGGTAATGTGTGTGAAGTTTTGCTGGCTCTCCCACGCTCATCTCCTGCTGTGTGTTCTGGTTCCTAACAGACTGTGGATAGGTATTGGTCCATGGCTGGGGGCCTGGGTACCTCTGCCATACTTGGTGAAACCTTAGTAAAGACTCTGAGCACCAAGGTTCAGGTGATTTTGCTTCCCTGATTGGCAATACTCCATGTATACTGTCACATATTAATGCTGAAAAAACAACACTGCCTTGGATCCATGGGAAAAGAACAACACTTGGTACTTTTCCTAGACTTTGCCCTTATGTATGCATTCCCTGAGCTGATTTTAACTTATATCCTTCCTGTAATAATCCTTAACCATGGGTAAAACAGAGTTCAGTGAGTTCTGAGTTGCTCAAGTAGTCTCAAGGACCCATAAACTCTAAAGTTTGTGTCAGCAGTGAGAATGGTATGTGAACTGTTCCCTCTAACTTCACAGTTTACTTAAATTTCCCAGGATTAAAATTTAGTAAAATTCCAGAAGAAAACTTGGAAGTATGTTTCTAGAGTCTTAAAGATTTCATATTCTGGTCCTGAGGTTCAATTTTAAATTATCTAAGCTAAGAAAATAATAAAATATGTGGCCAAAGATTGTCAAAGTATGTGTTGTTGTAAAATATGTATAGATAGTAAAATGAAGAGACTAAGATTAAATAAATGTACAATGATAAACAAATATATACAGAGAAAATACATTGTTTTATTTTCAGAATAACTTTATTGATTTGGATATTTTGAGTATGTCAGCTTTCTCCCATGGGGTATAACATTGATTGTTCTCAATTAATGTCTCAGTTTGATCGCTATCAACTTCAACTGGTCTACCCGACCATGGAGCATTGTCCACAGCAAGAAATCTCCAGCATGAAACTTCACAAAGCACTTTTGACATGTTCAACCAGTCATGGCACCTTTTCCATACTCTGCACAAATTGTGTGTGTGTGTGTGTGTGTATGTTTTGGTTGTATTTTTACCTTTCTTGAAATAATAAAGCATAATATGCCAAAAATGTCACTTATTTTCTTCCATCTTCACTATTAAAATGGTTACACAAAAATCCACCAAGTTTGACAAGATCTTTTTTCAACGCATGCTGATATGACAGCTGTCACTACACAATCTAACAAAATTGTTTCAAGTGAAGTTAAAGACAACTGAGCACTATTAGAGCTATCTGATGGAAAAAAACAAACCAAATTTTTGGCCAACCCAATATGTATGTATATATTCCTTATGAATAAATACCATGCAGCCATTAAAAATCATGTTTTTTTAAAAATAATGTGATGTGATAAAGTATCTATTTTGTAAATATAAAAAGTTTTGAAATTGACTTTGATTTGATTCATGAAACTTCATTGACTAGCTATGCTATACTACTTAAGATTCTTAATTTCTCTAAAAATTCTTTTAAAATATAAATATACATATAAAATATTAAAAAATATAAATAACAGTATCTGTCAGTTTCTTTTTGATGATTAAATTTAGTCTATGCAGTGAAGCTCTCAGTAATGTGCCTAGCACAAAATAAGCAGTTTCTTAAATGACAGACATTTTATTAATGTAATAATAATAATATTTCTACAATAAGTTCACAAACACATGCTATAATAAAAGAAGTGTAAGTATTATAAAATTACACATATACCACACTCAAAGAGTACAAATATTCTAATTGTTAGAAAAATTAAAAATATACAGTTGAGTCCCAATGTAACATTCTCTTTTTCTTAAGAATTCCCACATCCATAGTTTCAACCTCCAACTTCAATTGGATGTAGGATGTTACTCCCATCATTTTCATTGCTGCTACTATTATGATCCTCATTGCCATTCAGAATAAGTAAATAAGAAGGCAATAGGCATCAATGCCACCTAGTGGGAAGATTTCTGATTATTATGATTCAATTTAACAATTTAGTTCAACAGAGCAAAAGAGAGTAGGTATTTAGCAACATAAGCTTTAATGATTCCCTCCATTTTACCTTGACAAAAATGACAAATTCTTTTGAAAGGTCTGGGTAGCCTTTTGATGATCCATCAGCTATTTTTCCATGACAGTCAAAACTAACTGTGTGCCCAGGAGCCAATGCTGACTCAAGAAGTGCACAGCGGTTGGGCTGATAAAGCACCCGTAGCTCAGTGGAGGCTCCACCACCAGCCTAAAAGAAAAAGGGGGGAACCCTTTGAATTAACAGTAGAAAATAAATTTAAAATGTTTTGACATTATATGTATGTAGAGGTCTATTCCACTCTATAGAACTCTTGAACTATCCATATAATCTTATGTTTGTGTAATTCAATTGTTGGATTTCCCAGCATAATTTCCAGCATCTTTTCCCATGAACTTTCTTCTCCTTATTTTTCAGAACCCATGGTAGAGTGCTGGGTAACAATAAAAATAACTCCAGTGGCAGGATAATTTAATAAGATGTTCATATGTATTTTATCATTGTTTATGTTTCATGCCTTTACTTGTGCCTTCTTACCTCAAGATTATTTGGGATCAAAAGCTCAAAATAATAGACATGTATTACTAGGATTTGCTTTCAAAAAACTAAACAAATTGAGGAAGTTATGCTATAGGGAAGCAGTCCTGCTTTGGGGTACTGTTTGAGGTCTTTCCCCATCTTCTCTCAGTAACCCAGAGAGGCATTTCTGCCTGAAAACGATGAACTCTTGGGTGCCCCTTAAATGACTGACTTATGACTCTAAGACTATGAACCCAAGCAAAGTTCCCTGGTGTTAAGTATGATAAGTAAGCAACAGAGAGATTTACCTTTAAGAAACCATCTTATGTTTGACTAGTATTCTACCAGTGACCAGTGTGCATTGAAGCTAAGAGGGCTGTAACCAGATATTCTGAAACTCCATACCAGGTGAAATCTTGTGTGTAACAAGGCAAATCTCATAACAACTAAAATGGAATCTTTCACCAACTTAGTGAAATAGGGTCTTGGAGATAGTGTTAATTTGATTTTAGAAAAATAAAGCAGTGGGACATTTATTAAACTCAATTTATTTAAGTAGATTCCATATCCACTACTTTCTTATTTATCACACACTATGACCAGGACCTGTACTGAGCAGAATGTGCTCTAAAGTAGTACATTGTATAGGGTACTTGCTAAATCTGGAGCAGAGAAAAGGCTTCATGGAGGAAGTTTGACTGAGTAATCACTTAGCTTAAATTTCAGTCATACAAATTACATGTTTTTTAAATTATTATTTTCCTTTAAATAACATGCTGTGAGTTAAAAATCATCATGTAATATTGCATTATACAATGAAGCTGTAGCATGAGAGGTGGAGTCAGATTGCTTGTGTTCAAATGTGTTTGCTTTCACATTTACTAGTTATGTGACTTTGGGCAGCTCATTTAGTCCTCCTATACCTCAGGTTCCTCTTCTGTTGAATGAGATAATAATGGATTCTCTCATAGGGTAGATATAAAGACTAAATGTTATAACACATATTAAGCACAATGTATGACAGCTACCCTATGCTGTCTCGCTTGCAAAATACATGGTGTGTATGGATTTTGAAAAGCCAGCTTTCTATATTAAAAGCTACATTTCAAGCATAAACTAATACAAAGCATAATTAGGTGAAATTATGGTTTATTTCCCTAATAATAGGATCCCTAAAGGGGTCTTTTAAAGTCAGTATCTCTTGGGAGGCTCATTAAAATTTTGAATGTTATCTGAGAAGTGGTCTACTTTACTTTTTCTTTGGTCTAGATCCTAATTGAGAATTTTTAGGACCATTTATGCATTAGAATCTCAAAAATTAGTAAGACAAAACAGAAGAAAGTGAAAGTAAAAGCCAAAGAAAAATACAATTTGATAATCTTATCAATGCACTTATGCAAAAACATATTATATATGGATATAATGATATATGGCCAACAGAAAAATTATGACCTACCATTCCAGTGACAAAGCTATTGTCAAGAGAAAGAGAAAGATGACTTATTTCATGACTTTGGAATATGCATATATTTCCTTTGTTGAAAATAACATCAAAAAGACCTGGAAAACATTTCAAGTATTAGCAATTAATTCATAATTTTAATGATTTTTTATTATTCAATTACATATTGAAATCTTCTAATAATATGTTTTATAATATTTCTCAATTAAACCTTTTAACTAGAGGAAAGGTAGAATGCCAGTAGCCTTTGATTATATGTTGCTTGGCAATTTGGTAGAATATCCATGGAGAATCTTCAATGCCTTCCCATGATAATCAGTAAGTCTAGAGACAACCCCCCAAAAAATAACACCTGATTTTTCCTGGAAGATAAATAATCTTAGTGTAAAAACCCATTTCCATTCTATAAATTTCAGACATTTGGGGTAAAATAAAATAATGCATTACAAAAGTAAATAGATATGATTTGGCCATTAATGACTGGTTTGTATGATTATGATGATGAAGATCCTGTCATCATATATTTGTGTTTTTAGTTTTCAATGTACTTTTACATACCTTTTTATCTTAAAATGTAAGCATTTCTAGGGTATAAATTTTTGTATACTGTGTGTACAGTTACATAACAGCAATTATAGAGGTACCTAGAACATAGTGGGTGCTCAAGAAATATCCTTTAGGTAAGTTAGTTAACATACCCCCTTAGCCTATAAATACAAATACTGCGCAAACACAGAGTTATCTCCACTTGGAAAATGAGGCAACTGAGACACAAAGAGTTAAGGGACTTTCCCAAGATCCCTACCTCATCACAGAATTGAAATAGAACCCAGGCCTTCAGATATTAGTCCAATGTTCTTTGCATTACCAGTAATCCTTCCTTTACCACTTACTGCCAACAAATTTTCAGGAATCCACTTTTGTAACAACAATGAATGAAGATCATTTTTGCTCTTATAAATAGGTGATTTTCAATGATGAGTCAAGCCAGATATAATATAATATGTATTGCATGTTTAACTATATAAAGCACAAAAACAGGCATGATTATTCCAGGATATTAGGAATCACAGTAATGGTTACCTTTGGGGGAGAGTGACTAGAAAATGGCATGAGAGTGTTTTTGGAGTGCTGGTTATGTTCCAGTTCTTGATCAGGGTTCTAGTTACATGAGAATGTTGTTTGTAAAAATTCATAATAAAATATGTGTATTTTTTCTGTACATGGATAATATTGAAAAGCTTCAGAGTATGTCATCCCAAAAATATACCTCTATGGCATAAAAATTATTTTGAGCTGAAGGCAACTGAGGAAAAACAGGCACTGTATAAACTCTTAGCTCTGCCTAAAAGAGTAACATAAATTTATTCTGTGAAGGTATCTCCCAAACCCACTTCTCCAGCAGGAAAAAGAGAGAGTCTTATCACTGGAGACAGATGGTACTGAGAAAGAGATGACACTGACAACTCTTACTATTTAGTGCTTACCTTGCATTAGTTTCCCACATACATCCTTCCCACAGTTTGCTGTCCTAGTGGACTAGAAGCTCAAAGTCTTTTCCTTTGTCTTGTCCTTTCTTTACAAAAGTATTGTTCTTTTAAAAATGCTTTATAAGTCCCAAGTTTTAACCACCCCTTTGAGTTCATCACTAAGTTCTCTCCCATACAGTGATTTTATTTATTTATTTATTTAATATAATTTTTTTCTTCAAAGATTTTATTTATTTACTTCAGAGAGGGGAAGGGAGGGAGAAATAGAGGGAGAGTAACATTAATGTGTGATTGCCTCTCATGTATCCCCTAGGGGACCTGACATGCAACCCAGGCATGTGCCCTAGGCTGGAAATCAAAATGGAGACCCTTTGGTTCACAGACCAGCACTCAATCCACTCAGTCACACCATCCGGGGACCATACTATTATTTTAAAATAGATGATTCCTTGAGCCATGATTTACTTTATTTCCTAATTAGTTGCAGAGGTTTTTCTGTGTATGTGGTATGTATATGCACATATATATATATATATATATACACACACACACACATAATATAAGATAACAATTTATCTAATGTAAAATGTCTAATGTACATTGTATAATATCTATAAAATGATTTCATGGTAACAAAGTTAGATTTTCTAAAATAAACCAATCTTTCCTTTTTCACCATTGTCAACATAGTCCATTTTGTATTAACTCAAAACTTCGAGCCTAGTCAACATATACCAAATGAAACAGAATTATGGTAGTTGTTGAGTGATTAATGTTCCCCAAATCCAAATTTTAACTTTGAATTTATATATATATATATATATATATATATATATATATGCTTTAATTATTCACCTTATACTTGTATATTCATCATACCTTTTCATTCAAACTAATGAGTCCAGAGTCATACCTACTCTTTCTGCCCATGTACTCCACAGGGCAATGATCCTCAGCCTTACTCATTGCAGGACCAAGATCCAGGAAAGTAGAGATCACTTCTATAGTCCAAAGCCAACTGAAATTATTCAGATTAGTCAATCCTAAACTGTTTACCCTACCCTGTCTTACATTTCCTGTGGAAACCACAATAAAGCCCATGGACTAAGTGGTCCTTGCCTCCCATCTTCTGTCTCCTGACCACCTTGGTGTTATTCTCTGTGGTCCTGTGTGACATGCTATGCCCCCTATCTCTAGAACCTATGAGTAAAATGGATTTTGTTTTTCTGAGCCTTTCCTGTATCTCCTCTTGTAGTCTCACCTGATTGGTCATCTCAGAAGAATACAAAACACCATTCTATTGATCTATACCTTTTTCTTTATACCAGTATTGTCCTGTTTTGATTCCTGTAGCTTTGTAGTAATTTTTCTAAATGTGAGGCTTCCAATTTTGTTCTTTTTCAATGTTATTTGAGGTCTCTTGCAATTTCATATAAAATTTAGAATTGGACTTTCCATTTCTACAGAAAGGGCTATGATATTTTGATAAGGATTGCTTTGAACTGCAGATCACTTTGGGGAGTACTGTCATTTTAATAATATTAAGTATTCTAACCCATGAACACAGGACTTATTCCCACCTATTTAGGTCTTCTTTAATTTCTTTAAAAAAGGATTTATAGTTTTCAGGGTAGAAAATCTGCACTGAATATTCAGGTCTACCCAGTGTGACACAAGAAAGAAGATGAGAATTCAGATTAGAGGTAGGAGAGATACTACATTTTCCATTCCTGGCAATAACCATAACTTAGTGTGAAGGTAAGGTGGAAGCCATCATAGTACCAGAGTGAGAAAATACCAAGAGCAGCTACGTTACAGAACAGTGTGACTGGTGTATTAGATCTATTGTTGTATAAAATACTATTCCAAAATTTTTTCAGCCTAAAACAAATACTTATTACTTTATAATTTCTGTAGGTCAGGAATTTTGGAGCAATGTATCTGGGTCTCTTGTGAGGCTGCAATCAAGGTGCTGGTTGGGGCTGTTGTCATCTGAAGACTTGACTGGGGCTGGAGGATTGTCTTGCAAAATGTCTTACTCACAAAGTTATTTGCAAGAGACTCTGTTCTTTATCAACTTGGCTCTCCTTAGAGATGCTTGAATGTACTCATGACATGGCAGTTGGCTTTCCCTAGGGTGAGTGATCCAAGAGAGAGCACAGGAGAAATCTGTAATACCTTATATGACCTAGTCCTGAAAGTCATATACAATCGCTTCTACCATATTCTAATTGTTAGAGAAAAGTCACGTAATCCATCCCATACTCAAGGGGAGAGGAATAGGCCCCACCTATTGAAGAGAGCAATACCAAGTAATTTGTGGATGTATTTTAGTCAACCTATCAGATACAGAGGTCAAAACACTGGTAATCAGGATGCTCACAGAAATGGTTGAGTATGGTTGCAAAATAGAGGGAAAAGTGAAGGTTATGCAAAGTGAAATAAAGAAAAATACACAGGCAACCAACAGTGAAGGGAAAGAAACCAGGACTCAAACCAATGAATGGAAGCAGAAGGAATAAATAAACATTCAACCAGAAGAGAATGAAGAAACAAGAATTCAAAAAAATGAGGAGAGGCTTAGGAACCTCCAGGACAACTTTAAATGTTCCAACATCCAAATAATAGGGGTGCCAGAAGGAGGAGAAGAGCAAGAATTTGAAAACTTATTTGAAAAAATAATGGAGAACTTCCCCATGCTGGCCAAGGAAATAGACTTCCAGGAAGTCCAGGAAGCTCAGAGAGTCCCAAAGAAATTGGACCCAAGGACGCACACAGCAAGGCATATCATAATTACATTACCCAAGATTAAAGACAAGGAGAGAATCTTAAAAGCAGCAAGAGAAAAGGAGACAGTTACCTATAAAGGAGTTCCCATAAGACACTCAGCTGATTCCTCAAAAGAAACCTTGCAGGCAAGAAGGGGCTGGAAAGATGTATTCAAAGTCATGAGAGGCAAGGACCTACATCTAAGATTTCTCTATCCAGCAAAGCTATCATTTAGAATGGAAGGGCAGATACAGTGCTTCTCAGATAAGGTCATGTTAAAGGAGTTCATCATTACCGAGCCCTTTTTATATGAAATGTTATAAAGGGACTTACTTAAGAAAAAGATGAAGATCAAAAACTATAAACAGTGAAATGACAGCAAACTCACAACTATCAACAACTGAATCTAAAAACAAAAACAAAAACTAAGCAAACAACTAGAACAGGAGCAGAATCATAGAAGTGGAGATCAGAGGGGAGGGGGTAGAATGGGGGAAAAGGTACAGGAAGTAAGAAGCATAAATAGTAGGTACAAAATAGACAGCAGGAGGATAAGAACAGTACAGGAAATGGGGAAGCCAAAGAATTCATGACCCATGGACATGAACTGAGGGCAGGGGAATGCTGGTGGGAGGTGGGGTGCAGGGCAGAGAGGAATAAAAGGGGAAAAATGGGACGACTGTAATAGCATAATCAATAAAATAGACTTTAAAAAATAAATAAAACTTCCACACTGAAATACATAGTCACCTCTTCCTTACAGCCTATTCTGACATAGTACCAAATAAACACTCCAAAACCAAAACAAAACAAAACAAAAAACCCACTAACAAAACCTGGTGCAACTATTTACATAGATCCTTAGAGATAACACAAAGAATAATAATGACATTAGAAACTTTCAGTAATATGATATTTTATACCTTTTCAAAATGCATGTTTAACCTTTTAGGAATGTATAATCTGAATTTATATTTTAAATTTTTCCTGAAAAAATTTAATAAGAAAATAAGTGCATCTAGATTTTATATTAACTCTTTTGAAATTATGGGTGATGGGAAGTTTATGAATCTGGTCCTGACATAAGGTTGCCATCTAGGGTTTAGAGTTAAAAATTGAATTGCTTTGGTTGTCTGCTACCTCCTTTATTTGTAGGATGCCTCACTGAAGACCAGAAGACTTGTTTTTTATTGTCATTGTCAATGTTGATACAGTATTGATTTTAATACCTATGAGCTTATGATCATAAAATGAAGTTCCCTGTGGTATTTCAAAGATCTTCTCATGCTGTATGTCTGCTTTTAGGTTTAGTATTACCAAGAAATGGTTCAGTAGCTCTCAAATTGAGTAGGGAAATAGCTAAATTCACAACCAGGTTCATAAATAAATAGAAGGATTGGTGCATGATGATAAAAATGACATTGTTTGATAGAGTAAAAATTATAAGTTAATATATCTCAGAGGCATGTTTTCTTGAAAAATGTCTATAGGTCAGCATTGATCATAACCACACTTTCCAGAGAGAGAAAACCTGATTCATGGGGGTGAATTTAGAAGACACAAAATTTAACATCAGGAAATAATGTTGCAAGTAATTACACAGATTACGTGCATAAAAACCTCCTGTTGCAAAAACATCAGTTATGTCAAGAAAAATTACTCATACTATCCTACACCTGTTTTTTAAAGACTATTTATTCTACTATATATATTAAGATGCTAGAAAGACTTAAGAGTAAAAAATGAGTCTCTTTTCATCATCTACCAATTAGTTTGGTCTACACAGGGACTCATATGTTTGGCAGATGGTGCTGGTTACAGGATGAGAATGATTCCCCCCTCTCACCTCCCTCTCCTTCTCCTTCTGTATGTCACTCTCCCTATCCCTCTCTCTCGACATCCCAGGGGAGTACAGGTAAAGACCTTTCTTTCCCTTCCCTGGAGAAAACTGCTTACATTCCAAAATAAAGATATGTTCTCCCTGTCCCTGTCTCATTCTCTTTTTCTTTTTCTGGAAAGAAGGAAGGGCAATCCTATGTAAGATCAGACTTTCCTTATTTCTCTCCTTTAATGCACTCACCCACACATGTAGGTAAGGGCCTGGTATCATCAGGCCCTTACTTCATGATACCGTGAGATTTGGATGTGGAGAACCAATGCATATGAGAATAAATGGTCTTGGTCTTGCACTCTGCTCTCATATTTTCTGCAAGTAGGGTAAAACTTCGATCCTTCAGTTTCTGATTTAACAATAGGAGATATTTTTGTTACCACATTTGGAAATACAATCTTCTATACTGAATAAGAGAAAAGAACACCAGCATTGGCAGCAGTAACTGCAAGGAACAGGATGTCAAGGGCCATTTTGACTGACCTAAGTAGATAAGTGATCCCAAGTAGAAAACAACAGGTAAGAAAAATGTCTGAGAAACAGATTAATTTTGGAAAGAGAAGCTACTAGAAAGTATTCTTAGACTCCCACGTATTTTCATGGAGAAGAAAGTTGAATTATTCCCTGGGATCTCTAATATGAAGTGAAAGGGATTACTTTTTGAGGAAATGCTATATAGATTAGCATCTCCATCCAGCACACCCTGGAAGTTATGTGAACATCACTGTTTAAAACAAAAAAGAGTAGTCCCCCATCCCTTAATCCATGTGGATATGTCCCCAGTGGATGCCTAAAACTGGATAGTATTAAACCCTATATATTACTAGTTTTTTTCTCTATAGATACATATCTATGAAAAACTAATTTATAATTAGGCAGAGTAAGAGATTAATAACAACTAATAAAGTTTATAACAATATACTTTAATAAAAGTTATGTGAATGGCTTTGAGGCCATTACTAAGTAAGATAAGGGTTACTTCAACACAAGTACTGCAATATTACAACAATCAGATAACCCAGGTGGCTTGGGCAGGTGGTGGGTGCAGCATGGAGGTGCTGGACAAAAGCATGGCTCACGTCCTGAGCAGGGCACGCTGGGCTGTGGGAGATTCCATCACGCTACTCAGAATGGAACACAATTTAAAACACGAATTGTTTATTTTTGGAATTTTTGGACTACAAGTAACTGAAACTGCAGAGAGCAAAACCATGTATAAGGGGGACTACTATACAGAAAAGTTATATTCATAGATGCAGCAGGCAAATCTTGTTTCAACACTAAAGGTATAAATTTCAAGATGATTTGGAGGTTTGGGTTTATATTCAAAGGCCTAACATTATCAGTTTACTTCTCCTTTCATTCTTTTCCTCATGGCTTCATGGCATGCTAATTTTAAACATTAAATCTAGTTTTTCTTTGCCTACTTTTCCTCTGTGTCTTTATTATGACACTAGCTACAAATAACCAATTTTGAAATTTTTATATGTATTTGTCTTTCGCATTACATTTTGAACCTCTGGAATTCAGGATAATGTCTTAGTTGCTTCTGTGGCCATCAAATTTATAAATGGTGCTTTGAACAAAATAGGCACTCAGTATGTAGTAGAACCAACTTAATTCCTTACATGGCCACACCATGTAAGAGCTACTGTGTGGCTTTTTATGAAGAGTCAATGTTAATTGCTTACATTTTAGTCTTCAATTAAGTAATAACAAAAAAGTTTTTTATAGTATAATGTTCTGCATAATGATATTGTCTGCCCAGATTTAAAGCCTGTTGTCTATTGATCATTTGTATTAAGGCAGATAATGAATTACTTAAATGGGTCAGTACTGGTGTAAAGCCATCCGAAAAAGAAGAAGCAAAACTGCAAATTAAACTGGGTCTAGAAATCTGCCCCTGTACCCAGCTCCCAAAACTGCCATAGCACCACACGCTTTGCTCAGTGATTTTACCATATTTGTCTGCTTTCTCTCCAACTGCATCAACTGTGCCATCTGGGTGCAGACGGACAAATCCTCCAGTAAGCCTGTTGTAGAACTGAAGAGTATTTCCCTTCTTGAACTTCCAGCTCTCTGCAGCCCACTAAATAGGAAAACAAAACAAAAAAACACCAATATGAAAAGAGAAAGAGAAGGAAATTACTAAGAAACACCCCTTACTATACATCATATACTGTTTTGCTTTAACACATCAAATACCTATTTGAGCACTGTTTGTACCAAATAATTTAAGACTCAAAGTAAAACTTACTGTTTCTTGTCTATTACAGTCTAGCTTCTGCCCTGAGGATATAAAGGAAAGAGAGGATTGTTAATTTCAGGAGTGTCATACTTTCCTCAATCCTCATAAAACAAAGTTCTTCATGAAATGTGAGGACATGACACTTACTTGCAGAGATAATACTGTTATCCCTGGCATATAGTTCTCTGGCAATTTTACCATCATCTTCCCCTTGATCCAGCCATCTGTGGAAAGAAAAGTGCACTGAGTATATCCTGGCTTTATATTTATACTAACCACAGGCAATTACCCAGCCAAGCCAGAAATAATGGATAATGGAAATTGAAAAAAACCATAGGTATCTAGTTGGTAAAAGCAGAGTAGAAAATGGAAAAAGAAATGCTTGAAATGACTATGAGAGTGCAGGAAAGGTAGGAGAAGCTACTAACAGGCAAGGATGAAATGTTTTTCCCTAATCCATGGGTACATTATTCAATCAGTCTGCCTAGGTCATACATTTTACATCCACTGGACCAACTATTTTATCTTGTTCTTTGGTCATCAATTAGAGTTCAAACTGTACCAAATTATTGTACAAATGGGTATTGTTGGTTCTATGAGAAGAGAAGCAGGAGAATGTTGAAAGGAAGAGCAAATCTGTCACCACTATTGGGAAAATAACCCCAAAATCAAGGTCTGATGACAGTGGATTAGCAATGTCATTTTTCTGTAAAAAGCCACATGCAACATTTATTTTGTATATTTATTTTTGAACTTAATTTGGGACCTAGTCCAATAAGAATAAGTTGTCTTAACAGAGATTTCATTCTCCTTACTAATATGAAAAAAGAAATTATATTTTACAAATCTATTTTAATTTCCCAAGAAATATTTGAATTTGTATCATCAGAAATAATGGATATCTTTCTAAATAGAATAAACAGTATCTAAAATTAATGTTCAAAAAAGTTACCAACAAAGAACTAATAACCAAGAATAATTGAATAAGCTATCCATTCCTCCAGAACCTGGAACTAACTAATGTGAAATGAATTTGTGCAATGTAAAAGCACACCTACAAACCTGTGACAGAAGAAGGCGTATTCCTTGTCAGCTGTGGGATCCTTGATTACAACATCTTCAAGAAACCAGCCTTTTCCTAAACAAAAATTAAAGAAAGAAAAATGAGGTATGAATACGTACATATCTGATTTATCTCCAAAATACTTTCTATTTCTAAAACAGACACCTAGAAAATCACAAAGATCATATATATGTTTTGTTAAGCTAGAAAAATGAACAATCATTTAGAAGTTCTGTCCAAGAATACAGATTGAGCTGGTACACATGAAGCCAATAAGTACTGAATGTTTAACTTCACATTAATTTTCAAACTGGAATTGATTAAAATACCATTTAATTTTATTTTTACATAAAATAGAATATTTTAACTGGCTATAGTGGTTTTAGCGATACAAAGAGCCAGCTCAAAATATCACCTCCTCTAATTAAAAGTCCTTGACTTGATGAGTTAATACATACCAACTATTGAATAAAACAGTTTTTTCACTGCTCGTTGTTTTGTTTTGTTTTGTTTTGTTTGAGAGGGAAGGGAAGGGAGAGAGAGGGAGAATCATATGCTCATATGCACCCACACTGAGGATTGAACCCTCAACCTAAGCATGTGCCCTGACCAGCAATCAAACCTGCAACTTTTCAGTTACAGGAAGCACTCCAGCTAACTGAACCACATGGGCCAGGGGGAATACAACTCTTTAACAAAGCATGTAAGGGCCTTCAATGCCTGCTTTATGCTTATATTTAAACTTCATCCCTCATCACAGTTTGGGCAATGCCAAACTGTTCATATTCCCTAGATGAGTGGTTCTCCAACTTTAGCATGCATCAGAATCATCAAGAGGGATTATAAAAACAGAGACCACTGGGGCCCATAGTGAATTTCTAACTCAGGAGGCTGGTATAGGCAACCTAAGGCGACCAACTGCTAGCCTAGGTTGTCCCAGAAAGAGGGGTTTCCCAGGATGCAGGCTCTCCAGGGCTAAAAACAGTACAACCCCAAGCAAACCAAAAGAACTGCTCCTCATAGAAAAGACCCCAAGAACTGAATTTTTAACAAGACCCTAGACAGCGCTGATGATCCAGGAATCACACTCTGAAAACCACTGCCAGAGATTATTAATATTCATGAACTATGCCTTCACACATGCTATTCCCTCTGTCTAAAATGTCACCCCTCAAAAAACTTGATTTCATTACATTTGTGTTATCAAAAAATATGAATTACTTATCTCTTTTAAGGAAATATAAAATGTTATCAGAATTCTGAAAAGAGTTTTATGAGCTATGGAGGCATCTATAAAAACTCCTGGAGGTGATGAGGTATAGATTTTTTTTAATTTCTTATTTTAATAGGTTAAATTAGTAATTTTTATAATATATTTATATAAAAATATACTATCTACTTTTTTAAAAACACATTGTCCCATAAAAATAAAAAACCCAGGACTGGATTTAGAACTAGAAAAGATAAGGTTCTAACAAAAGCCAGGCTGTCCCTGGAAGGATTAGGCAAGAATAGAAGTCAAAGAGTTATATAAAGACCTTTTTAAATGTAATACTTTCTTACACAATGCATATAATAAATATATCATTCAACATATTATTTACCCCTTAATATAACATTTATTTTTTATTGGACTGGGTTTTAAAAAGTGAACAAAAAAGGTACTGAAACTATGTACAATTCCAGCACCTGCTAAAAAAAAAAAGAAAAGGAATTAGCCTGGTCTATACAGTTTTAGTCTTTTTCTATACCTAGAGATAGCATGTTCACATGTAATCAAACCAGGGTCCTAATATGTAAAGCGTTGGTGTTCTGCTGTGCCAGAGACAAGACTGCATGCTCACTATACCATTTCCTCTTTCTGCTTATACAAGCAGATTACATTTCCTAGAGTCCCCTGAAATTAGGTAGAGGACGGTATGATCACTTCCTCTTAATGGAATGTGAACAAAAATACTATGTCACTTGCAGGCCTACCCCTTAAAAATATCCCCCACAATCCTCTAGCCAATTCACTTTCTGTGGTGACTGTGGAAGCAAGGGCCAGACAAATATTTGATAGGGCCTGACTTCTGATTCACCGCTGAAAGAATAGCTGGCTGAAAGACTACCCAACTCACATCAGACTGGTGTGCAAAAATAAATAAATATGCTACGTAGAGACCTCAGATGTTGGGGTAGTTTATTACAGGAGCTAGTGAGTATTAAGTACCCGAAATGCTTTGTTCACTTGACATTATATATCAGCATTTACCTGTTTTTCATAATTTTTAAAGTTGTATAGCATTTCAGAGTATGGATTTACTGTATATAATATACTTCCTATTGTAAGACAGAGACTTTTCTTATTATGCATAATATAGTCATAATTTTCAGTATGGATTTTATATATATTTCTAAATATTTTTGGATAGTTTTCTAGAAATGGAATAATTGAGTCAAATTATTATTTTTAGATAATACTTAGTAACACTAATCGCTGATATTATATTGTCCACAATTCATTCTCCCCCACTGCACCCCACTGACTTTGATCTTGTCCAATTGATTGGATTTAACCAGTGGAATGCAGGCAGAAACGGCCATATATCAGGTTCCAGTTAAGGTCCTTGACCATTGGAAGAGCATGTCTCAGGTAGCATTGCTCAACCTCAATTCAGATATGAAGACATGTGGTGCATACATGACCCCACATCAGAGCCAGGAACCCAGCAAAGTCCAACCAAGAACAGACAAAAGACAATGTAAACATTAAATAAATATTGTTGCAATTAACTGAGATTTAGGAGCTGTTTTCTATATATGAGGTCTGGTCGGAAAAAGTCCAGCCATTGTTAAGAGTCTATCCAGAAAGTATCCAACCATGTAACATGAAAAATGGAGACATTTATTGAAGAAGTTACAACATGCAAAAAACATTGTACACAGAACAATGACATCTCAGTCCCCTTCAAAGAAGAGACTTTGGGACCTCACACAGTTCTATCACTATGAGCTGCCCCGTCATATTTTCCTAAATCTGGAAGATGATGGTCTGAAATCTCTTTCATTTCGAAGGTGATTTTAGTTTGAGGAAAAGCCAGAAGTCACAGGGTGCAAAATCTGCGTCACAGAGGTATCTAGCCACCTGAGTGATTTTATGTGTCACAAAGAAACCGCACAGGACATGACGCATGAGCAGACGCACTGTCATGATGAACTTGCCAATCACCAGTTGCCCATAGCTTCAACCTTCTGAATCATCTGAATAGTTTCAACAGAGGAATGTTCATGCATAATGCAAAATTTGATGCAGATTCATTGGTCTACACACTCAGTCATTTTGAATGCAACAACCACGCAGCACACATGCTCACTTAAACGGCATCTAACACCCCCACCGACTAGTCCAGTGAAGTCATCATCGTTCACGTATGCACATTCCAGTCCTCTCTCCTTGGCTCCCAGGTTATCTCATTGTTGCTCATTTAATGTTTTTAAATTTTACACTGATCTACATTATCTGGCCAAAATTCAGTAATATGGAAAATCAATAAAAAAAAAAAAGATTGTCAACATTCCATCTCCCACTCAAACATATACACTCTCGTACTCTAGAAACTACAAAACACAAAGTAGTTTTTATTTAAACTACTTTAAAAGTAGTTATTTATATATAAATATTTATATATAAATCAGGATGAAAGTGATATATATTTGTTTCCCTATCCCATTTGTGTACACACATATAAACATATATTTCTACACATAAATAAATATTTCTACATAGCAACATATATACACAAATAAGATGATCGAAAATGAGAGAGAAAAATGAGAAAGGTAGAACAAACAGGATAAATTCAAGAGATCTAAATTTGAATAATCTTTTTCCATAAATACATACAGGGAAAAATGAAAGGGATGATTGGAAAATTCCCTACTACTGAACAAATGAGTTTCCAAATTAAGGGGTCTAACTAAGATCCCAGAAGAACAAAAGACCCACACCAAGGCACACTATAGTGAACATCCAGAATAATGGAGATATAAAAATTATAAATGTCTCAGAAACATTTAAAAATTAAATAAAGTGACTTGGAATTATGTACACAAAATTTCAAGAAGCTGCTGATTTCTATATTCCACTAAAATAATAACAGAAACTAAAGGGAAAACACAGGAAGAAGGAAACCAGTGGCAGAACACTGGGAAAGTCACTTTGGCCTTTCTACAGTGTTCAAGCCCCTGGTCCCCTTCGTGAGAGTGAAGAAAAATCCCTGGGAAAGAGCCTCAGGGCAGACCTAGAGCACAAGAAGTCTACATGCTAGGAAAGAGAATTCTAGGATGGTAACCTCTGAAAAAGAGATAAAATCAAATACTTAATGTGTATGACCATGATGAGAAAAGGTTTAAACTTATGGAAAAAACCTTGAAAAGTTAAGAATGATAAGAAAATAGAAAACTAATGAAAACGAATAAACCCCAAAGCTTGGTATTAACTTTAGGAGAAAAAAAAGACTGCTAAAGAGGAAATGTAATCACAGTATACTACATAGCTCTTCTGTGAATAATGCTTGTATATCCTATAATAAAGCAAACACTGACTATTGATCTAATACGAAGTGGGACATTGTCTCCATTAAGAGGACAGAAGGAGAGGAAGGATGCGGGAGCAAATCTTATCTTTTATGTAGGTAGTAGATAAGTCAGTAGTAGATAACAGCTTAACTGAAATATCAAGAAATGAAAATAGATCATGTCAATTGGAAATAAAGAGATAAACAGCAAAGGAAACTACTTAAAAAGTGAAAAAGTAGTTGTCTTTTGTAGAGTGTGAATTAGAGATGGGGATAGAGGGACTGGATATTTCTTCTACTATAATCTTCAGTGACTCTAGGCAAAATACATGTAGTACTTTGTATGATGCCACAAAAGCAATATTTAGACAGAATAGATATGTTTAAGTGTACATATTAGTTAAAAATGAAAATCAATGAGCTAAAAATGCAACAGAAGTATTTAGTAGAAGAACACAGTTAAGCCAAAGAAGATAAAAGAAGATAAGTAATGAATAATGGTGAAATGAGAGAAAA